GGGATATGAGGTTGAACCCTACCACTCTTAAAAAGCAAACAAACAGACTTGTTGGTGTTGTACAATAGGTTATGATCCATTGCATATTTCTCACAGATCTGGAGTAGTGCACGCAGCGCACCAATCGAGGCACTCAGCAGCACCATATCATCAGCATAACTCAAGTTATTAAAGCATTAAGAACCAATGTGGCAACCCAGTCTGGTGCTTCTAAGCTCCTCGATCAGCTGATTAACATACAGATTAAAAAGCATAGGCGATGTTAGCCCTCCCTGCCTCACACCGCATTGTAGGAGAAATTCCTCAGACTATGTACCACACAACTTTACTACATTAATTTGCCTACTATACCATGCGATCAATATGTTAATACATAATGACTGCACTCCCGCATCACGTAACTTCCTCCAAAGTATATCATAACTGACTCTGTCAAAAGCCTTACTTAAGTGCAAGAAACATGCATAAATATTTGTTTTCCGCTTATTATAATAACTAACGGTTTGCTTTAAAGTAAAAATCGCCGCATCCGTAGAACTATATTTTTTAAATCCAAATTGAGCATCGCTAATTTGTATATATTTGGAAATAACGCCTAATAATATGGTGTCAAACAGTTTAGCACAAGTTGTAGCTATGGATATCGGTCCATAATTACCACTGTCGGTCAATCTACTCAATTTACATTTAAGAACAGGACTTATTACTGTTTTTAGCATTTCTACCGGTAAGTAAGCATGCTGCAAAAATACAGATACGAACGCAACTACCCATGGTCCTCCGAACCGAAGATGTTCCATGCTTATATATATATATATATTTAAACAGAAGTAACAAACAGATTTGTAGTCCTCGTCCGTAGTGCGTGAAGATAATTGCTCGTAAGCTCACCTTGCTGGACTGCCAAATATCGAGATGGCATGTAGAGTCCTATTGCAGTATACGATAGTGGAGTTAATCCCAACGATTCTCATGAAAACTCCCCGTGGTATATGTGATGGAATATTAGTTTTTTTTTATATAAGATAGGGTGACAAACGGGCACACAGTCCACTTGATGGTAAGTGGTTGCTGTGATATCCATAGACATCCACATATCAATAAAGGATCAAAATGCAGAAGCGTTGTCACCCGTGAGGACTAAGATGGAATGCCTCTTTGCCAGTAAAAAGGGTCTCCGTTTCGCTACAGTCTCCATACGAAACACAGCAGCATTAAGCTGCTATTTTACGCTGGTATTCTGTGAGAGCGTGGTCCTTCCCCTGTCGAGCCGACCCATTCGTGCTACAACTATACTACTAATATAGCTGCAGCATGGCTCTACCACGTAAAAAGAGTCATTGAGCCAAGAGTCATGTAATAGCTCTTCGCAAGACGGATCGGAAAATATTTGGTCGAAAGAAAGTACTAAAGAACAGAACATAATATTTTATTTTTATTTAATAAAGATTTTATTCAATATAGATTTTGAAAGTGAACTTTTTTTATTTACCACTGGTTCGGAAAATACCTCCCTTTTGTGCGAAACCAGCAATATACACAGCAGGATTATTTAAAATAACCCAAGTATTAAATTGAAATTGCAACTTCTATAGCAATTTCCAGCAATCCTGTTTCTAATATTAAAATGCCTGACAGGAGGAACGTGAAAGGATTTCAGAAAGGTATCGTTTGAGTTTTGAACGAAAATATTTGAGCGATTTAAATATCAAAGGCAGTCAGCTGACAGCTCAGTGAGAAAAGCTATGTCTAGCTTTTTTGTTGATATCGTTTTAAAATCGTTTATATAAAACATAGATTTATTTTTGACCCAGAAAAAGTGCTAAACGCATTTGCTTTTAACCAAAATTAAAAAAAAAGAATTTCTTTATTTAACCATATTTTTTTATGAATATTCAATGATTTCTCGGAAAAGGTAGAAACGATTTAAATAAGCATTTTTTATTAATTAGGTTATGTAGGGTAGTCAGAAATTCCAAACCTAAGAGTATTAGGAACTTATGTATTTGTTGTAACTGTTTAGACAATTATGCTAGTTGTATCCTTGAGCTTGTGAAATAGATTAGTGCGGGAAAAGTGGGGACAATGAAACTATTATTAAAAAGTAAGATCCAACTTCAAAACTAAAAAAAAACAAAAAACAAAAATCGTTTGTCCTTAACTCGAGAAATTTAATTTACAATGCTAAATTTTCAGGAGCTGAACCCTTCACTGGCACATTTAAACGAGTTTTTCAGTTTTCTTTTCAGTTTCAAGGCACTCCCCTTGCTGCCTCAGCCAGTATAGGAATCCTTGGCGTCGACATATCGAATAGCGTGCAGTTTCGTGGTCACTTGGAAGGGAAGGCCAAATTAGCCTCTAAAAAGCTTGGCGTGCTCAGCAGAGCGAGACAGTATTTCATGCCGGCACATCGCTTGCAACTTTACAAAGCGCAAGTTCGGCCCCACATGGAATACTGTTCTCATCTCTGGGCCGGGGCACCCCAGTGCCAGCTCCTTCCACTTGACCGCATCCAGCGCAGAGCGATTCGAATCGTCGACGACCGAGTTCTTTCCGAACGGCTCGATACACTGACTCCCCGTAGAAATGTTGCATCTCTTTGCGTATTTTATCGCATCTATCACGGGGAGTGCTCTGAGGAATTGTTCGGACTAATTCCAGCCGCTCAATTTCACCATCGCATGTCGCGACAAAACTCGCGTTACGCGATTGGCGGTTGGCGGTCCACCACTGTGCGATTTAGAAGAAGTTTTCTCCCTCGCACAACTTCTTTGTGGAATCAATTACCACCAGCGAATTTTCCGAACCGATACGACTTAGGAACCTTCAAGAAAAGAGCTTACACCTTTCTAAAAGGCCGGCAACGCATCTGCGATTCCCCTGGTGTTGCGGTTGTTCATGGGCAGCGGTAGTCACTTACCATCAGGTGAGCCGCATGCTCGTTAGCCCCCTATTCTATAAAAAAAAACATTAAGCTTAAAATTATTTTCAAATACAATTTTTTTCTACTTTCTTGTTTATTGCAAAGTGCATTTTAAATTTAAATTCATGATTTTTTTTAACTTATTATAGGTCAGTGCTTGACCATAAATCACACCTGGTAGTAAGTGGTGATTTAGCCCTAGAAGGTAAATCGCACTGTCTTAGCGTAACGTAAGTCTATTCACCATACAGAAAGATAGACGCCGGCAAAATTATTCCACCCCTTTGATATACACAATACAAAATATGAAGGAAACCGTTTGGTTCAAATGCGTGGAATATCAACAACAAAGGGGTCAAGACCCGCCGACTGGCCGGCCTGGTTGTCCGATGGAGGAAAGGAGAGGGAGTAATTAAAGCACGCAATTCTTGCGCACACTCACCAAAATGCATTCTTTGCTTCGCCTGTGCTCGAGCACAAGCTTGATTTGATTTGGTTTCAATCAAATCGAGGTTACCAATAAACCTCTTAGCACGTCTCTCCACTGAGTCCGATGTTGCTAGGTGTCATTTTGTAGCACCAGCCCATATGTGACAGCAGTACTCCATGCACGAACTAGTACATAAGTTATGCACTAGCTATATTTGATAAGGTCTGATTATAGTTTCAAAATCATCACCTAAGGAAAATTACCCAGGTAAGTGATCCTATCAGATTTTTTAAATGAGGAAGCTGTTAAGATTTCAACCACTGCTAGCTTTTTTACAGTGCGAAGTGATCATGGTCTGAAAAATAAAAGGAGCGTGCCTCCACGCACTCAGACCGTATTAGTTCAAGCCGAACAACGTAACGCGAATTGTTTGTTTTGCCGCACCGCTGTACATAACCTCACAGATTGCAAACAATTTAAGAAAGTACTACGTAAAGTACGGTGGCAACTTGTGAAGAGACACGGTCTATGTTACAAATGTTTAATTTCAAAACACGATCGCAAAATCTGCGCAGCCCCTGTGTGCAACAAAGACGGCTGCAATGAAGATCATCATCGCCTCCTTCATTATTCTAAGTCTAATCAACATGAGCGCCCCAGCTATGATAGTCATAATTCATCGACTACAATTCCGGCGAACATGTACGGCCAACAGGCCGAGCCTACGGTAAATTCAGAGACAATAACGCACATTAACGCGAGCGATCATAAATTTTTATTGAAAGTGTTACCTATTCGTGTGTATGGACCTACCGGTATAGTGAACGCCACCGCGCTTCTTGATGATGGATCAAGTGTGTCACTGATAAGCGCAGGGCTCGCTGAGCGCGTCGGGTTGCGTGGCCGTAGTGAAACATTAAAAATGCGCGGAGCGTGGAGTGATAACGAACTAGTTTGTAAGTCTATAGTCATGAATGTAAACATTGCTAGTACTAATAACGATACGTTACATAACATAAGAATGCGTTGTATAAAAGAATTATGTTTGCCTACTCAAAAATTACCCTTATCTGATGAGCATTCCAGGCCAGTTATGAACCTCTAACTCAAAGCCTGAAATATTGATAGGACAAGATAATTAGTTCCTTTTTAAAATTAAGCTAGGTAAAACAAATGAGCCGTCCGCTACACTTACTCCCCTCGGATGGTGCGTACATGGAAAAGTGCGCGTGTCGCGGAGCGCCGCTCGTCCCTCTGAAGCCGGCCGTGACGCTTGCAGCACTGAGGCTGCTCTGAACATCACGGAAATCGATGAGGTAAGTGCCACTTCACAGGATGACAGTTTGCTGCAAGAGATCCATGATGGGGTCTGACGCTAGTTTGTCTGGGCGTGTCTGGTAAGCCACGCCAGAATGCAGACGAAGTGCGCGCCATCGCCCAGCTGGAGCGATCCGCGGTGCTCGTTAACGGACGCTGGCATGTTGGCTTACCTTGGAGGGAAGCCGAACGCAGGATGCTGGACTCCTACCCAAATGCACTGAAAAGGATGAAAGGTATTGAAAGGAAAATGATAAAGACACAGTTTTTGGTAAAAGGTATGAGGAACGCATTAATCATTTGCTGGTTAATGATTATGCGCGTGAACTGATGAAAACTGATGTCACACCGAACACGTGGTACTTACCACACTTTGGTATTGACAACCCCAATAAAAGCAAGCTTCGGCTGGTCTTCGATGCTGCCGGTAAGGTAAATGGTTCCTGTCTTAACGACTATTTACTCACTGGGCCCGACCTACTGTCATCAATTCTTGGTATTATGCTGCGCTTCAGGGAAAGAAAAATCGCAGTAACAGGTGACATAAAGGACATGTTCCTAAGAGTCAAGGTTCACGCCGAAGATCAGCATGCTCTAAGGTTTTTATGGAGGAGCAGCCCTACGGATAGAATCAAAACGTATGTAATGACTTCTTTAATTTTTGGAGCTAACTGCTCACCCTTTGTTGCTCAGTTTATTAAAAACAAGAACGTCCGGGGATATGAGTCATCGTCGCCGGCCGAAGTCAATGCGATCTATCACTCTCATTATATGGATGACTACATAGATAGTGTGCCGGATGAAACTACCGCGATCGAGTTAGTTAAAAACATTAGCGATATTCACAAGAGTGGTGGTTTCGAAATTCGAAACCGGACTAGTAACAGTGTTGCCGTTTTAGATAGCGTACCAAAGGAGACTTAAGGAGGTGCAGTAAACTTTAAAGTCGGTCAGCAGTATGGAGGTGAGCGAACGCTGGGACTAATTTGGTTTCCAGCAGGAGATAAGCTTGGTTTTGACGTCTCACTAAAGCGCATTCCAAGTAAAATTATTCAGGGCAATGAACGACCTACGAAGCGGCTTATGTTAAGGGTAATAATGTCAATTTTCGACGTATTAGGTTTTCTTGGTCCATTTACAATTCAGGGTAAGATCATGCTTCAAAACACCTGGCGTTTAAATGGTGAATGGGACGATTATGTTCCTGACAGTATTTATACTAAGTGGAAGAAATGGATTGACCTACTTAAAGTAATAGATAATATCCGCATTCCTAGGTGCCACGCGATGATTGCATGTTATCAGAACAGGATAGCTTGTGCAAGCGGGATGGAAGTCCCCTCTCCCGTGCCAACAGCTACGCCGCCGCCCGCGCCTCTCGACTCGGCCACTCCGCTCGCATCTACCGCTGCAACGCAGTATTGAGCGAGGCGTGGCTGGCCGCGTCACTTGTACTCTAACAATGGTACCAATTTCAGAGGCGCAGACAAGGAACTCCAACGGACTATGCAGGACCTTGACCAGGAATACCTACGTAGTGTAGGTGTCAAAAACGGAATGGATTGGACTTTCATACCCCCCTCCCCCCCGTCAGTCCCCATTGGGGTGCGGCTTGGGAGCGGATGATATGCAGCGTTAAGACATCGCTTAAAACTGTCTTAACTGAACGGGCACCGAGAGACGAGGTGTTATGCACACTACTAACTGAAGTTGAAAATATAGCTAACAGTCGTCCTTTAATGCACGTTTCGGTCGCACCAGATGGAGTGGAAACCCTCACTTCAAACGATTTTATTCTAGGTACATCATCAAACTTGCCTGTGATAGGGGCGTTTGACAGTTCCGACTTGTATCTCCGCAGGCATTGGCGTATAAGTCAGCGATTGGCGGACATGCTCTGGCACAGGTGGGTGAAGGAGATTTTACCTGAAATTATACCCAGGAGAAAATGGCAAGAGGTGCAGAAGCCGCTACAAGTTGGCGACCACGTCTTAGTTGTGGACCAGAACTCTACATGCAATGCGTGGCCAAAGGGACTCATTACAGAGGTGTTTCCCGGGAAGGATAGCCGTATCAGGTTAGTGGAGGTGAAAGTTGGCTCGAGGACGTTTCGTCGATCTGCGGCACGCGTCGCTTCTATATCACTGAATGATGAGTGCTGTGACAGCACTGGGGTGGAGAATGTTAGCGACGCGCTCATTTGTAATTAAAATTATGTTAGGCATTAAATTTACTGTGTATCGATTGTACTTACCTATTGGCGCCTCTTCACGTTGGCCAACACAGTGGTGAATGTGTTGGCAGAGTTATTGGCCAAGAAATTGTGATCGCGTCCACACGTTGGAAGGTCTCGCTTCGGCTCAGGCCAATGTGCGGACGAATTTATTAAAATGATTATTGATGCGCTAACGGCTGCTGCAGTTTATTTATTCACAGGATACCACTATTTTTTTATTTAATTTTCACTATTTTTTATATTTAATATTTCTTTATTATACACTAACGTTATACAGATAAGTGAACTATATAAACATTAACACACCTAGGCATAGGTATAATTAACACTTTTACAACTAAGGCCTGGAAAATATTCGAAGCCTGTCTATGAAACTGTTGTCAAATTTTATTAAACAAAACCTTTTTAAAAAGGGTTATTCTTATTATATAATTATAGAATAAAACTTAATAATAATAATATTAATAAATAATTTATTTCGTCAGACATTAAAGTTACATTATATGATCAGTGATCGAGGTCACCTAGTAAGCAAAATAACGCCTGTAACAGGTGACTTCGCTCTTCCATAGCTAAAAATTACAGTATTATTAACGAAATAAAGTAACTAATAGGGAATAATAAAGACAGTAAATACATGATTTTAGTATCGTACTTTTTAATTTGATTTTAATATATATTATATATTATAGATTTTAAGATATTTAATATATCAATTAATACATCAATAAATTAATTAATACACAATTAATCACTACAACGTGAATGTGTATAAGATAAAGGTGATCAAAAAGAAATGGAAAAAAGAAATTTTATTTCTTGACGGCTCCGTGGCGTAGTGGCTTAGCAATGAGTTGCTGCCCTGGGGGCCGCGGGTTCGAATCCCGCACGGAACAAGTATTTGTATTGCCTGCACATAATATCTCCGGGTCTGGATGTTTGTCCTTATGCAATTTATGTTTCTAAACTGCCTCCACGATACAGGAGAAAATCCTAGTGTATAACAACATTTCTTTTTAAAAAAGACTTGTGTTTTACAAACAATTTTTAGTAGGGCTCTATAAAGCGAAAAGTTTTTTCATTGATCATTGTTACTGCCGTTATGTAGACACTAGTTACGATGCGTGCATATAAAATTTAAATCAGGTGCGTGCAATCACTCTGGGAGCTCGTAGCAAACTGAACGTGCGCCCAACGTGTGGACGCGACGGCCAATACTCTGCCACAACCCTTTGATCTTTTGCAAAAAAACCGACACCACACGGATCTCGCGGCAACTTGTGGGCCATCGTTCCAATACATACCAACGTAGCTTAAACACCCGCGCTCTACAAGATGGCCATCGTTGTTGGCCAACACATTCGGCAGTGTGTTGGCCAACGTGAAGAGCCGCCGTCTCGCGCCAACTTGTGGGCCATCGTTCCAATACGTACCAACGTAGCTTAAACACCCGCTCTACACGATGGCCATCGTTGTTGGCCAACACATTCGCTAGTGTGTTGGCCAACGTGAAGAGCCGCCGTATACCTATTTTAGTTATAAATTTGTTTTAAAAGACGCGGAGCCTCTGACGTGCTCGTCGGTGAGCACGTCAGAGTCCACTCTGCCACTATATGTGAGTCGATGCGCATGCCCATATTTTGTCGCGCGCAGCCATTTGTAAATTCGCTTTTATTATTAAATTGAGTACAACCAAGTTCATTTCAACCTCCAGCACGATCCTGCAGCACCTAAGTTCTACAATACCGTTTAATAGTTTTATTGAAAACTTCATTTCCTATTTTCCCACACTTTGTGATCAATTCTTTTCTCCTTACTGAAGTATAACTATTTATTATAAAAAGGATTAAAATCGGTTTACAATTGACGAAGTTATCGCGTAACAATTCTTTTTTTTTTCTTTTTTTTTTAATTTATATTACCGGCCAAGTACAGTCAGACTCGGCATGAAGGGTTCCGTACCATCGTAATACATGTTTCTAGTAGGGGAGCCCCTTTTAATTTTAAATTTATTTTTATTATTTGCTGTTATATCGGCAACAGAAATACATATTTTGTGAAAATTTCAACTGTCTACCTATTACTAATCATGAGATACAGTCTGCTGACAGATAGACGGACGGACAAACGGACAGCGTAGGCTTAGTAATAGGGTCCCGTTGGTTACCCTTTGGCTACATAACCATCAAAGAACATACAGTCGCAATGAGAAGCTTCCTTTTTAAGCCGGCTAAAAAGAAGCAAAGTTAACAAAGTGATTTTGTTCGAAGCTTCGTAAGCAAATTCCAATGTTGTAATGAAACTCTTATTTTCAAGACTTTGAGATAAATATGTATATTGAAAACCTAAACAGTAAAAACAAGCTGGACGTTGGAAGAAAGCCAGCGAGATATCGCTTTGTTTGTTTGTCCACTAAAGAAGAGTCGATAAGATTTTTAACTAAAATTTAATGTTGAGCTTATATCACAGAATACCAGCGTGAAATAGGAGCTCAATGCTGCTTGTTGTGTTTCGTAAAGTATCTGTGGAGAACCGGAGACCCTTTTTACTAGAAGCAAGGCATTCCATCTTAGCCCTATATATAATAATATCGATATTGATTTTCAATCGAGGATAGATGTAGATGTCTATGGCCCACAACATCCACTTACTATCAGGTGAACTGTGTACCCTTTATTTTATAAAGAAACGGTTCCGTATAAACTTAATTATTTATGTAATTAGTTCATCTATGACAGGAATTTCAACTTCTCACAAGCTGTTCATACATATATTGTGTTATTAATGTTTTATTGGAAAAGACAGACGCATAGACCATCGGCCCTTTTTCACCTTTTATTGTCGACACACGTGTCTCAGTTGATTTATCTTGCCATATGTTACCTCCTTATTTTCTTCATGTAGAGAACCTCATATATCTAACCTTTTCCGTGCTGCTGACTACTTTATAATAGTTTCGATTTATGTGCCGCGGTAGCGCAGTGGCTTTCATAGTACGTGAGTTCCATAGTTCGGTCCAGGCTAGCACCGCTAAAAATTGTTAATCTTAGTTATTTTACGTATGCGTTGATTCACCATGTTCTTGGCGGTGCAGGAAAAATTCTTACATTATCCAGTTCTTGAGAATAATCTCGAAATTGACACTTCTTGGCGCAGTGACATAGCCATGAGGTACGGCACCGAGGGTCACGGGTTCGAATCCTACACGAAAGAAGTATTTGCGTGGCACTGCAACTTATTGTTCCAGGTCTGAAAGTTTGTCCTTCTACAATTTATGTTTGTAAACTGTCTCCATGATACAATAGAAAACCCCAGTATGGGGTAAACTTTTTTAATTAAAACCCATTCGGAAATAAGCTGTTATCCACTCTCGCATTAAAGACATACAGATTAAAATAAAACGGAAAGACAGTGACCGGTAAATTATTCACCTCTTTTGATAAACAAATAACAAAATACGAAGCGAGCCGTTTAGTTCGAACGCAAGAATTATCGAAAACAAGGAGATGAAGACACTTCCTTCCTTTGGAATCAGATAAGCATACTAAAGGATTTAAAAAATAAATCAAGCGTCAATATGTTATTTTTATTTCATTACCGTTTTAAAATGAGATTTTTCTGTCTAAAGAAGAAACAATGAAAGAAACTCCGCAAGGTATCTACTTTTTGTTAATCAAAATTAAAAAAG